CAAACCCAAGCTCTCTTAAAGACTTCACAAAGTTCTTATCATACTACCAAGCCCAAACCCGGCCAACGCCGCAAACACCCAAACCCTAAACGGTTTAGGGTTTAGGGTCTAAGCACCCAAATTCAAAATCCGAGACTGAATTCTGTTCCCATCCTGCACTGCTTTGGAATGCAAGGTGCTTTCTGGAGCGCCAGCTTCCTTCAGCTTTTCTGGGTTTAGGGTTCAGGCTTCTGACAAGAGGGGCCCTGCACACGTAGAAAAAGTTTCGCGTGGTTGAGCAGTTGTTCCCCTAAGGGTCCATTTGCAATATACCCTGGCCCTAGAGTACCTATATAGTCCCTATCCTTGGAGCCTAAATACATGCCTAAACCCTAATCCCTAAACCCTAAACCCTAAACCCCTAAACCCTAAACCCTAATCCCTAAACCCTAAACCCTAAACCCCTAAACCCTAAACCCTAAAAGCCCTAAACGGTTTTGCTTCTGAGCCGAAGACCCTAAACCCTAAACCCTAAACCCTAAACCCTAAAAGCCCTAAACGGTTTTGCTTCTGAGCCGAAGACCCTAAGCCCTAAACCCTAAACCTATAAAGGACCAGACCATAGAAACCACTTCTGCTATTTCGAGCCATCGGGTAAGGCTCTCCGGAACTTCCAGAAGAGGGCCCGGTGTGATTCCCCAAGTTCCTCAAATTTAGGGTCTAGGTTTTAGGGTTTTTCGGGTTTTTAGGGTTTAGGTTTAGGGATTTAGGGTTTAGGGCTTAGGGTTTGGGGTTGTTGAAGGTCGGGCAGCCGAAGAGTAACACATTTGGTAGAGGGACATGACTTCATGACGCTGGGTTTAGCGGAATAAATTATACTATGGTCGTACGGGTTTTGGGGCTACGTTGTACTATAGGAAGGCTAAGGGAACAATATTCTTGTTTAGTCATCGTTCCATGCATTATTGGGGCCCGTCGAACACAGGCACTTGACTATAGGAGTCTGTTATAAGCTGCTCCTGTTCCTGCAGACCCCTATGCTATGAACCCCAAGGCTTCGAAGGATCTATAGGAGATGTCTGATGAATGGAGGGGATATATCATGTCCCTGTCAAGAAGAAGCAAGAAGAATAGAAAGGCCGGCCGGATACCATGGACCTTCTGTAGGAGACCCTCAGAGGAAGAACGCTCGATGTGTTTTCAGTCGATTCCTAAACCCTAAACCCTAAACCCTACTTCGGGGCTTGCAGGAATCCCACCGGCCTCGTAGGTCTAGGGTTGAGGGCTTCAGGGTGTAAGGGTTTAGGGTTTAGTGTTTTAACCGCTTTAGGGCTTTGGGGTGCAAGGGTTTAGGGTTTAATGTTTTAAGGCTTTAGGGCTTTAGGGTGTAAGGGTTTAGGGTTTTATGTTTTATGTAAGGCTTTAGGGCTTTAGGATGTAAGGGTTTAGGGTTTAATGGTTTAGGGGTTTAGCGTTTAGTGTTAACAACACCGCAACATACACTTGAGGGGGCCTGCCCTGTGACAGGGACTTTATGCTTATGATCGTGGCACCAATAGCCGTTCCGGGTTACGGGTTACAGAAAAAAAGGGGATCACAGGGTTCTTGTAAGAGTTCTATAGGGTTCCCGTGCATTTTTATATCAGGGGCCTTACATGGCCAGGCTGAAAGCACACTCTCCGGGCTTGAAAAGCGGCGCTCTGAAATGCAGAATCACAGCTCTGAGAAGTATGAAATAAGGCTGTGCTCACAAACTTACTGTAACTTACGCATTGCGTCATACAACTTAAAAACTTTTTGCCAAAAAATCAAACATGGAACCTGTACCTGTAACTGAGCTCCTATGCCAAGGCCCTAAACCTCCACTCCAGTATCAAGGGCACCCTTCGTCCCAGCAATCAGGAGCTCCCCAAACAAAACACCCTAAACCCTAAACCCCTAAACCCTAAACCCTAAACCCCGAAACCCTAAACTCTAAACCTGGAAACCTTGAGAGAAAGCCCATCTTACTTCCAAGACGCATCGCGCCGTAGTATGCGCCTGCACAGGGGCTTCTTCCTTTACGATTCTAGAGACTCGAATCATAGTCCTTCAGGTTAAGAGGGGACAGGGTCCTTTACGACGGAGCCATTCTAATGCAAGGGACTCGTGACTTCCATCTATGTCTTTCCAAGTAAGTCCATACATACTACTAATAAGGCCAGAAAGTTCCTGAGCGACCACTAGATAATAAGGGTACCTTCTTTCCCCGTTATTCAGGTTTTTAACAAAGGAACCAAGGAATAGAACGGGCAAAAGGGTACCATTCATGAACCTAGTTTCCCGGGGGCTTTGGGAATTTAGGGTTTAGTATTTAGGGTTGTTATTTACTTCAGCTTGGAAAGCAGAGGGTTCAAACTAACTGAAGGTGTGGGCTTCAGCATAGAGGTTTGGCACTATATATCGTGCGGTGGAGCAATTTAGATTGGCCGTGTTGTGGACACCAGAGCACACAAAAGCACCCACATGCCGGCGACCTCAACCTTCAACCCTAAACCCCGAAACCCAAACCCAACCGAGCATGTGGGCTTTATGGCACGCTTGGCCGAATAAGTTTGGGCTGGGGGCTTTACAGCTGTCAGTCCCAGACCAACCGGCCGCTACTTCAAGGGTCATGGGGCTTAGTAGCTAGGGGCTATTGTTACAGTAGCTAGACTTATGATCACTTATAGCCCCCATTCTTGTACTTATCGCCATACTTACTAAGTCTTATGTTCCTCCAAATAGAGCCCGAGGCCCCAAGCCCCGAATGCAGCCCAAATCCCAGGGGTGCAAAGCCCTGAACCCTCAAATCTGAATCCTCACTCTACCCCCGCTAACCAACGTACGGTAGAAGCTCAACAGTTGGAAACCCAATAGCCTCAATCCTTAAGAGTAATGTAATTGTAGTGAATCCCAACACTAATTGTCCTTAATCCGGTGAACATGGCCCTAGCAAAAATTAAGTACATTTACCCTCTTTGGTACCTTGTTTACAATACTTGAAGGATCATGGGACGAAATAAGTATAGTTATAAGCACCTCAATTGGGGTTATATGTGCTTTGAAGTCTGGTTCCCTTAGTAATACCCCCCTATAGATAATAAGTCCCACAAGCCTTTAGGTAGGTAAACCACGTATCCTCAAGACCCATGATGTGCCGACAGTCAACAGCCCCATTTAAAGAGCCTCCACACCCCTTTACTTATATGATTCATCTGACACGTAAGCCCTAAACCTTAAAACCCTATATCCCGAACTTCATGGATCCTTCAACCCTAAACCCTCAACCCTGCATCCGAAACCTTATTCATCCCCTTGCCTCGTAGAAGCAGCGACGAAACGACTCGCTGAAGAAGCCTCGAACTTCAGTGGTTCGATCCCCTTTTGCCTTTTTTGTGTCGAAGTATGCAACTACGTCTACATATACATATACACATATACACATATATACACACACACATATATATATATATGTATGTATGTATGTATGTATGTATGTATGTGTCTATATATATATATGTATAGTAGACACCATGGCAATACCTAGGTGTATATGTAAATATGTATTTGTATATAAGCATAAATACACAAATACACTTACACAGAAATATATATGTATATATTAGTATATATGTATATATACATACTCCTACATATACATATATATATATATATGGCATGGACCTTTATGTATAATGTGACGTTTCCTTTCGTTTATATACAAAGAACACTAGCACATGGCGTAATTGTTCTGCATGTGTTCTGTCAAATGTCATGTTGTTGAGAGTGCCTTGGAATATTTTCCATAAATCCCGAAAGCCTGGAACTCAACCCACGGCTGTTGCTGACCCCCCTGATCCCCATCAGCTTTCATCTCATGGTCGACCTGAGACAGTTGCTATTGCTGCTGGTGCTGCTACTGCTACTGCTGCTGCATGCCACTACGACGACGACAACGGGATTCTCGTGTTAGGGTGAGGGTCGGGTGCCCTTTACGGTTTCCAACGGCTCATCTCCCTCTGCCCCGCATTGCTTTCGGCCAAGCCTTTCTCGCGCCAATCTAAGCTGGCGCAGCTCTGGCCCGATGCATGTGCGGAGGGGGGTCACCGCGAGTGTTGCTCGCCCTGAAAACCTCCGCCGGGAAGGGACCGCTTACGGGGGAAGATGTGCCGTTCGAAACAAACCCCATACAAACCCACTGTTACTGCTCCTGCCCCTGCTGTTGCTACTACTACTGCTACCTACTCTGCTACTGCTGCTTGGACCGACTCGCCTCGACTCGCCTCGGCTCGGACGACAGCTTTGAACACTTAACATAGATCCCTGACGCACTCGCGCCTTTTCCATCTTCTTTCGCATCGGTGGCGTAGTCTGCGGTGTTTGGCTTAATTCGAAGTCTGGAACCGATGGATTTCGCACTTGTGACAGCAATGTCTTCTCGGACAGACCGTTTCCCGGTCGATACTCGCAGACTGAAAGCACGAGGAAAATCGACAGGAGCGCGGTTCGGGGTGGGCGGGCGAAAGGGTTTTCCCAGAATCTGATTCTGATACCGACATGGCAACTACGTGCGAAGATCCTCAAGTCGATCGATTGAAACATGAAAGCATAGGGTTGTCACTTCGCACACAAGCACGCCATATGACAGCCACTCAGGCCTTATCGTGTCTATAGCATCCATGGCCGAACCGTGATAACATCCCGAGAATCCGTGATCTCACAGCACACCTGCTACCTCGCGCATTAATGGGCACTGACACACTAGGTCATCTCGCACAGCCACGGATACTAAAGCATTTCCACGAAATCTAGTACAACTCGTGCGTCCCACAGTCACAGCCACTCAAAGCACCTCCGCGAGCACGAGGCGTCAGCCGCCGCCTAGCACGGCACGGAAGCAGCATCAAGTATCGTTGCTATTATGTCTAGTCGCTGTAATAACGAGTGGCATGTTGATCTCGTCTACTCCTTGTGACTTGTCATGCATATCAGCGTTGAGACTATGCAAAACAAACTTCATGTGGATGTTGGTGTGCTGCATGTCGCTCAGCCATGTTCCCTTGCAAGCGTCTGCTTTTGCGATGCGCCCCGGACCCCAAGTCCGATCTCACGGGCTGCTGGTAGGAACGTCCTCACTGTACGGATGGAATTCCTTCAGTTGGTTCACTGAGACATAAAACTCACTGGCCGCGCTTCCGCTTCATGCCAGCGGCGACTCCTGCTCTGCGCAAAGAATCGCACCTCTGAAGAGTATGAGGAGTGCGACGTCGTCGGCCTGCGGCTGCGGGCTTCTTCAAAGCAGCCGCCTGGACACGTCTGACTTGAGCCTCCCTCTGCTGCTGCAGCGGCAGCGCTGCCTTTTGAGGCATACGAACGTTAAGCAGCTCTTGACACCAGGCACGCCACTCTTCCGTTGACCACCCAACGGAGGCACTGGCCCGGGCCACCAGTTCAGCCTCCGGCATCTGCCTTGTGGTGGGGTGGTATAAGGCGCGGTTGTGCGAGAGGGTGTTGCCAAGCTTCAGCATGCCTAGCTTTAGCCGGAGCGTTGCTTGGTGAAGCTTCTGCGTTTCACGAAACCAAGTTTTGATTTCGTGATGCAGAGCCTCGTTGGAGGTGGTTCCAACCGGCAGAAGCGCCTGCCTGGTCCCCGAAATCATGTGTCGCATGCGGGTGTTATTCAAGTACCACTCTGCTCGGGCTGGTGCAGTGGCTGAAAGAAGGAGCATGTGAACCTTGCGGTTGGGCCCAGGCGCCACTCTCTCCGTTTCCTGCCAGCCAGCGCCTTGATCCAGTCAAGACGACAGTAGAACGGAACCTGAGGATTCAGATCAGCCAGCAGCTTCTGCGCATCGCTCTGCCTCATGCTCCTGTCTTCCAGTTGCTGACGTGCCCGCTTCTCCTCCCAGTTCAAGGCTGGAGGCGACCCTCCGTGGTACACAGGCCCCCAGCGACCCGCCATAGCTTCTGCATCATGAGCTGTGAGCTTGCGAAGGATCAGCCGAAGTTGTCTCGAACTTGCTGTTCGTTTGCGAGCGGAGGCATACTCACATGTCATAGCCAAGTGAACTGGATCAAGTGCCAATACCTGGAGGCTGGGGCAAATGGTGCGTAGCTCCTTCCAGTACTTTTGCGACGGATTCGCACACCTATCCTACACACAACCCTCCAACCTAGAACCCGAGACCTAAACCCCAAGACCGTGGGTTCTCCGAAGTGCACCAGCTGGCCGCGCATGCGACCGTAACAGAAGATCTTTGAGGATTGGGTGTTAAGGTGTTAGGGATTAGGGTTGATGTTCAGGCTGCAGACTGGTAAGGCCTGCCCAGGACGTGGAATGGCCTTTGGACACAGCAGCCCACTGCCACGACAAATGAAGCCGCAGGCATCAGCGTCGTCAAAACCCAAACCCAAAGTAGAAAAAAACCCTTGAGCCAATTCGAAGTTTCGCCGTGTAACAGCGAGCTGAGTCATGCTTGCACTTTTGAGACAAGCATATGACAACTGGAAACGTGCAATGCGAACGCTTGAAACACGGGTGTGAAACTCGATCCTACTTTCTAGATACATGGCTGCCCCCTAGCCTTTTTTCACTTTTGTCATTTCTTCTTTCGAAGTCTTTTCCATGTTTTGTCTCGGCTCAGTGGCCCTCGCATCCTGCCTACCCGGCACTGCACTTTACTCTGCACTGCACTCATGTTCATGTCTGCATGCACAGTCACAACAAGAATAGGTAAAAAGTATGTTCGCAAAACTCATTATAGCCATACACTTGAGATGGGAGCTTCGACCGCATCATGAGCTTGGATCTGGCCTACTATCAACACAACGTAGTTTGCTGGGGGGGTACCTTGGCTTCATACATTACCCAGGGTGGCTTAATGTATTCTGGGGGGGTTCGGTTGGGGAAGTTTGTGTGGCGGCAAAAACTGTAGCAGCCTTAAAGAGATAGGCAAAAGCCTTACAGAATATAGCCGAACTCCCAGAACTAGGACATACAATGCACCACGACACAAAAGATCAATAATCACCAGCATACGTCATGCACTTTTCTTAACCAAAACAATAGCGGCCTTAAATATGATAGGCAAATCCCAAGCCGAACTCCCAGAACTAGGACATACAATGCACCACGACACAAAAGATCAATAATCACCAACATACGTCATGCACTTTTCTTAACAAAAACAATCGCGGCCTTAAAATGATAAGCAAATCCGGCAAATCCCATACAGAACATAGCCGAAATCCCAGAACTAGGAAACACAATACACCACGACAGACGGCGCGTCCAGAGAACTCACATTTATGCCTCGCGGTGGAAAACTGATTCACTGAATGGTGTTTGGAGATGCTTATCACTGCATCCCATCATTGCACAAGCTATCTCGTTCCCAAGGGTGAGCCTTATGCCACCACTTATGGCTATGCTTCCACTTCGACCAGGGCACATTGGTCTGATGGGAAGCTTTCTTGTCTCTCGCCTCTGCTGCCTTGAAGCCTGCACGGCGATCAGTTTCAGATTTGATGTCTTCAGCAACTTTCTGCAAGCGTACAGCCCGCTCAAAGCGCAACTTCTCAATCTGTAGCTGCATATGCAGCCTCTGATCGCGAGTAAGAGGTGGCTCAGAGACATTGGATTTGCCATCACCCTCGCCTTCGTTAGCCTTGAGCAACTTCGCGTGAGGGTTTATAGGCTTGGGTGGTTCCTTGGTCTTCTCATTCTCGATGGAATCATGTTTCCGCTTTACCGGCGCAAACTTTCCAGGACCGCAAATGCACCTGTCGCGTCCATGCTTCCCACAACCATTGCATGGCAACTGACCCATCGTGAATTGGAAAACCTGCGCGAGACTGAGTTACCGCTGACGTTTACATTTATACTCGTGAAGACTTTTGCTCAAGCATCGACGATCTGGTTTGGGGTCGCCTATAGGGCCGCGCCTAATTGAACACACTCAGCAAGCTAGATACAACACTTAAATGCGTTTGAGTTAATCGACTACACAAATTAGACTCTAGACGTTAATCTTATTGACTCACGCGAGCATTGAGCTCAACCCACCGGAAATGAGTTAAAGTAATTGAATTAATTAAATAAATGAAACTAGATAAATTAGTTGAACTTATTAAATTAATTCAAGTAATTAAACTAATTAAACTAATTGAATAAATTAATTAATTGGGCAAATTAATTTAATTATTTTAATTTTAAAAAATATTTCAATTAATTAAACGAATTAAACTATAATCAAATTGGTTATTATATTTATTTAATTTATTTCATTTAATTTCATTAATTATGTAATTTAATTAATTTACACTAATTTAATTGATTTAATGAATTTAATTAGGTATATTTGGTTCCAATTGTAGCCTCAATGGTTACCCAAGACACTAGCGTCATATGATACAGAAAGGCCCTACGTACATATATATATATACACACACATACAGTGTAGGATATATATATATATACACACAGGTACACGTGCATACATATACACAAAAATATACACGAAACACAGAATGATACACGTGCATATACTGTTATGTCCATGCCATAAGCTGTATGTATGTATGTATGTATGTATGTATGTATGTATATATATATATGTGTGTGTGTGTTTACACATGTATGCAAGTGTTATACAGTAGTTACTGGTTTGCGCCGAAGCTTCTGTTGCGGGCAGAGTTCAGGATTTGGGGCTTTAGGGCGTCTAGAGGATGGGGTTGAGGGTTTAGGGTGTAAGGTTCAGCGCTTAAGGCCCTGGGATTCACGCTTCATATGCCGAGTCTGGTATGGCTACTATATGTTGCTATCTTGCCGGTTCTGACTTACGCTGGATGCCAAATAAACATGTTCTTCATCTCGTCAGTTGTACTCGGGGATTGACGGCTTGGCGGCTAACAAAGCCTTATAACACGCAATAAGCCTTTTCTCAAAAGCAACAAGGCTTATGAACCCCCTACCATTGGGCTACTTGCGCACCTCCACATCAAGGGGCCAAGGCGCAAATGCTGCGAGGACTTGGTTTCATTGTTGTAGGCATTCACCGGAACCTGGGATTTTCTGAAATTAATAAGGGACAGGGTCCGGAAAGCATGGTAGCTTTTGTTGGGTTGCGGTCGCGGTTTCGTAGCTCGGAGAGTATAGTGTCATGACTAACAGGTACTTCTTGAACCTGTTCAGGGTAGCTGACACCTGAGAACCTGGATCCTACATACTAAAACTGCAAGATATCTATGTTTTGGATCCCTTGGGCCTCCAGAAATGTTGCCGCAGTCCCAAAATGGCCGAGCATAAGTATTTCGATTTAGGGCTTAGGTATCTCTGTAGCCTTTCGAATTGAAAATGGGTGTAGTACCATTGCGCTTATTACAACGAGCCTTCGGGACAGAGTTTAGGGCTGTAGGGTTACGAGAGGTGCCGGAGCCGGACATTCAAGGCTTCAGAAAGAAAGTCCGTATAAAGGGTTTAGGGTTCAGGGGTTAAGGCTTAGGGGTTTTGGGTTGATTAGGCCTCCCAACACACTTATCACGATGGTCTTTGTCTTTTGCAGCCTACTTCCATAATGGTACTGTATATGGACCCTCCGGGGTCAGAGATTTTACGAGTGGTAGCCCCGGGAAGTCCTTGCTGTACCCCTAGTTTCGACTATGTCGGTACTTAGGACCCTTTGAGCAACTAGGGTGCCAGGAGTCATTTTTCAGACCTCTATACATAATAGAAACAGGGCTTGAGGGCAATAACCCCCACTTTAAGCCCAAACCCTAAACCGTAACCCCTAAACCCAAAACATCCGAAAACCCCCAACCCAAAACACTAAACCCTAAACCCCACTTTACGCCCATTTACTACCACTGATTCTTCAAGCAGGGCCTTCACGCGGCTCCCAAGCCCGAATCAAAATTCTTACTCTAGGGTTTAGGGATTAGGGTCTAGGGGATTAGGGTTTCGGGTCTGGGGTTTAGGGTTTAAGGTTTCGGGTTTAGGGTTTCGGGTCTAGGGTTTAGGGTCTAGGGGTTTAGGGTTTCGGGTTTTAGGGTTTAGAGTTTAATTAGGCTTCAGCAGCTCCGGACCGAGCAGTGCCTAGTCGAGCTGGCCGTCTCGGATGAAGGTATTGTCCACCCGCCCAAAGAATCCCGTAACACTAAGAAAGTACAACAACAATATAGCTTAACAGCTCTTGGGTCAAACGTTTCCTTCAATTGTTAACTATCAGTTTGCTTATCGTTAACAAACTTAAATCCCGCAAGTAAAAAGTTGAGAGTTTACAAAAACTAGACCCAAGAGAAACCTAGGAACGAAAAGGGTGCCCTTTATGGTCTCAAGGACTTTATAAGGGAACCTGAACCCTTAAAAAGGAAATAAGGGCCTACTCTGGGTCCTAGAAAAACTGTTGCACAACAAGCTGGAAGTCCCGAACACCTGCTCTGAGTGCAGAGCCAAGCCCTAAACCGAACTCCCTTACCCAAAGGCTCCTTGTACCTTTATAGTAGCTACTTAGGCCTTAAAGGGGTCCCTATATAGGTACTTTAAGGCCTAAGTATCTACTATAACTATAAAGGTACATGGAGCCTTTGGGTTAAGCCTGAACCTAATCCTTTTAGGCCACATATCTTACAATATAGTTTAGGTTATTGCCCTTCCCCCACCTTCGAACCTTATCTGAATACAATATGATAGCCCAGCATTCTAAAGACATATTCCGCTAAGCCCTAGTCCTAAAATAAAGCTTCGAAATGTGTTTCGGAACAGGGTTTCAGAACAAGGTTTCGGAAAAAGATTTCGAAATTAGAAATCGGAATTAGGTTTCGGAATTAGGTTTCAGAATCAGGTTTGGAAATGAGGTTTAGGACTTAGAAATCGGAAATAGGCTTGGGAATTCGGTGTCGGAATTAGGTTTGGGAATTCGGCTACGGAATTAGGTTTCAGAATTAGGTTTCGGACGACCTTGATCCATAGATCCATAAGTCGGCCCAAACCCAGGGAATTATGGGCTAATTAAGGTCGCCGCAACCTGAATCCATAACTGCCACTAAAGTTTAAATACACAAGGTAAGAGAGGCTTTAGGGATGAAGGTTTAGGGATGAGGGTTCAAGAGACTGAGGTTCGGGATTTAAGGTTTAGGGTCTAATTAATAGACTCTCAGGGTTTAGGGAGTAGGGTTGAGGGTCTAAGAGTCTAAGGTTTAGGGTCTAAGAGTCTAGGGTTTAGGGTCCAAGAGTTTAAGGTTTATCGGGCCTAAGAGTCTATGGTTTAGGGTCTAAGGAATACCTTCACGGCAATATCGTCGAAGAGGCCGCAGAGGCGTAGATCAGGTTTACCGGATGCTTGGAGGACGACCATTGCAGCAGGTCATGCCCAAGACCTCGTCAAGTCAAAAGTCAGAAGGGGGAAATCCCAAAACCACGTAAACTCTAAACCCTTCATGGCCCTAAATTGGGCGGGGCCTATTTGTTTAAAGATGCTTGAAAAAGTTGCTGTCAAGAGAGAGATGATGGCATATTGGCTTACCAGGTGTAATTTTGAAATTGAAAGGCTTCGGCAGCAAGGGTAGGGGTCTGAATACTTAGGAAGAACATTGCAGGGCTCACTATCTACTGTGAAGCAGACGAATGTAACGAGTAATATTGTGACAAGATCTGTCTCAAGGCTTTCGATGGTCACAACCCTTTGGCACCTCGCGTTGGCACATCCAGGACTGCCACGGTGCGAAGCTTGGCCAGATGCTTCCTTACTTGGAGGATCATGGGCCTAGTAAGTGATTATGATTCCACCTACTTTGAGTAGGATAGATAAAAGTATAGTTGCCCTAAGGAATAACCCGAGTTGCTAGGTCCCATGATCCTTCGAGTACCAGGAAACCCGCACCACAGAACTTGGAGCCTGCGAAGCCTTGCCAACCCCAAAGCGTCCTGAGTCCCTACATGGGGGATAGTTACCCCAACCCAAATGGTATTTCCTACTGTACAAACCCTACTTACTACTGCTGGTATATATATATATATCTATATACATACATGTAAGCATATTTATGTTCATATTTATATTTGTTTGTTCTTATTTATTTATGTATGTATCTATATGTACTTAGGAATCATTCGGAAAGTAATAGCACTGGTCAGGGCATTGCTATGACCTACGGTTGCTCGTAGCAGGAT